AAGCTGTTTAAAATGGTTTTTTCATGTTGTATTTTTACACAGATGAGACCATGGTAGTCAGTCATTTCCATTATTGCCCCATAGTCATTAGATTTAGCTCCCTCTCAGTGATGTTGAGACAGATACATTTTGTTCATTCTCACTTGTTAACCAGACATGGAGAACTAAAACCAACCTGTAAGGAATTTTTACATCAGTTCACTATTACCCTTAAGCTCTGCAGTGATCATGCACAGTGGCTTGTAGAACTGGGTCTTTGATTTTGATGCAGTTCATCACTGTCTCATTTGTAGAAAAGTTGACAAAATCACAAACAAATAATTTTTTTAAATTCCATATCAGCACATGATGCCTTTAATGAAGGGAGCACAGCCATCCTTGTTTTTGTGTATTCATTAGACTGATAATTTCCACAAGTAGCTTCATGAAATCCTCATTCAAAAAGTTGAACTTTTAACTCACAGAACACATTAATCTCATTAATGTTGTTGCAGTCTATTGACTTCTGCTCTAGGTACAAATCTGGCTGCTTTGTAATTAAATTTAATCTGGAATGCTGGTAAAGAAAAAAAGTAAAAAGAAAAAAAATAAATGAAAAAACAAGAAAATTGTATCCAGGGTACAATAGATGTAAGTAATCACAGACAAAAATATATTTTGTACAACAGCTTAGACAATGACCAATTCCTTGGAACCTGTCTGTGATTGCTTGCTGCTAATCACCATCAGTTTATGCTTGTTCTTTTCCCTTTGAAAATAATGAAATGCAGCAAATTATTTTCATATTATAAGTCTATGTTGGCATCATACCTTTTTTCCCCAAGCTGAGTTAGAAGATGTTTTTCTTTGACTCTCGAATAAAGTGTTGCAAGTTCATTATTTGTACAGAAAGCTTTACATAAATCCAAATTTTGTACTAAATGCTTTTTGCTTGTCCATTTTTTTATCATTGTCAAAGCAACAGTGCTCTGGATTAGGGCATCATCACAAAGCCAACCAATTTTTGCTCTGGTCTTTGAAAATCCAGGGCTTTGGCATTCCTTTTTGCTAGTAAATTGATAAAAATAAAATGACATATACAAAATAACCAGTTTGTGGGTCTTTGCTGATGATCTTGCTATGGAATAGAAATCAGGGGCTGGATTTAGGTATTTGTGCAGCATGGTCTGTATATTTGAATTAAACGACAGTCCTGTGGTTCCTGGCACATAGTCAGACTCAAGCATTCCAGGAATCCATCTTATTCATGTAAACTTGCTCTCCAAACTCTTTGTCAATGTCAAACTACTTCAAGCATATCTAACTCTTCTTTCTTTGTGAAATCCCTGCCTGTGGGTTTTCTTTCCTTCTTTTTCTTATTTCCACACACAAGTCCTATTTCCTGGTGCTTGAAGTCAAGCACAAGAGAAACAAGTCAACTGCATGGACCTGATTTTGCTCCAGGTTGCAATGGTTCTGGCAGCCAGCTGTATGGAGAAATGTAACTGCTCTTTTTATGCTGATCCTGGAAAAAGATGTGTCTCATGGGAAGTGTTAAAGTGGGAACAACAAGAGACAAAGCGATTATGCTCCTTGCTTTCAACTAGTAGTGCAGCAGAAAAAAAAATGCTGAAGAAACTCACTCACTTCCAGGGCAAATATTGAAGATGGTAAATGCTCTTTAACCTGTCTTCAACTTTGGTTTGCTGTGACTTCAACAATTTTCATTCAGAATTGCACACGACAACAAACAAAGCACTCTTGCCTTTTAATATTCTACTATGTAGTTCAAACCTATGTTTGTAACGAGTTTTTGTAGTTTGTAACTACAAAATCTACATGAAAGCATGTATCCACCTAAGTCAGTCCTGAAATGCCCTGAAAGAATGAATTTTTTTAAAAAAGTTTTTTATAAAAAAAGAAGTTACAAAGTTGTCTGTAACGTCTCAATTGTATGGAAACCACACACAAGACTTACTGCATGTGCCTGTAAAAATGAGCTTACAGTGAAACTACTACATGATAAATGTACCTCTGTGCATCCAACGTGCGTTAAAAAAGATAACCTAACTAAATCACAGCTCCACTGAAGAAGTTTTGTCACTGATTTAAAAGTGCTGAGATTTCATCCATTTTCAGTGATTTTGAACTGGAATTGACCACAGAAAAGAAATTATCTCTATTTTCACCATGTCTTTCAGAAACAAAAATACCATGTTCTTTAAAAACTGCATGTTTTACTATCACAATACAGGATCTTAGAATATAAAAACCTAATTCAGAAAGCTATTTTTTTCATTTATTCATTTAGTTGTTCTCATACATTTATTTCTAGTTTGATTTTAATTTTTTTTACATTTAATTACATAATCCCCTAAAGAGATGCCAAAAAAATTCAAGTTAATATGTTCCGTTTTAGCCCTTGCTTTTCCCCAAAAGGTGTTATTGTAACTTAAAAACCAAAATCATAATGTGATTTAATTAACAATTAAGATTAAATAAAACTACAAATCTGATATATCTTTAACATGCAAAAGATTGGCTACATCTTTTATGCAAAGGACACAATGATAGGATATAAAATATTCTCAGCATATCACCTCTGGATTGGAATTTTAACTGGGAGGTGCTGGTGTTGCAAAAACTAAATGTGAGTTTCAAGGTGAACTCAGCATCTCACTGAATACTTGGGTGACATCTTGTTTAGAAATCAGTCTTCAAACTTCAAGAAGTTTTACAAATGGGGCCAGCTAGATGATGGCTAAAGCAGTACAAGTTAGGTGTAGCTGCCTTTGTCAGATACCTTTTTCTCTGTTTTGGCAACAATAATGCTTTTGATTTTTGGTTCGTTGGTTGGTGTAGTGGTTTGAACCAGGTTTTCCCCCTGAAACTAAGAAAGTGGTAACCCCCAGGGGGTGGTGACCCTTGGGGCTTGACCAATCAGTGCTCCTGCAAAATATAAACATATCTCGGGAGACCGGAAGAGAAGCAGTGGTTCTTGTGGGGAAGAAGAGGTGGCCATGTTGTAGAGGCCACGAGGAGAAGGGGCTCCGGCCCCTTAGGGGGCTTTGCCCCCCCCAGCCCCTGTTGGGGGGCTGCAGGGACTCGGAACAGTGTCAGACTGGACTGAGTGCCTGTGGCTAGGAGCTGGGGGAGTTTTCTCCCCTGTAAATAGAAGTGGGAGACGCTGGGAGCAATGACGGACCAGCAGCGGAGACAGCAGCGTCCGAAGAGCAGTGGCAAAGAGCCAACTGATAAGGACCAAAAGGAGCAACACAAGCCGGTATGCAGCTAAGGCAGACACAGAGGTGTCTGAGGAGAAGGAAAAGCAGCAACAGGACAAGAGAACCAAGCCAGCAGCAGGAACAGAGTTTCGCGGGGTAAGAACTGGATAAACCAAAACCCCCAAGCTCGCTAGAGACCCCTCCGAGAAAGAGGAGGGGGTGGTGGACTGAGAGGAGTCCTAAAGTGCAGTATGCACTGCTGAGAGGAGCTAGGAAGCTCATGGCCTCCTGAGAGATAAGCCAGGACGGCCGAAAGAATGTGTGTGTGTGGGGGGTGACCTTGGCCCCCCCTGCTCCAGCTTCAGAGAAGCTGGCAGCCATCTTTGAGGCAGAGCATGGGAGCTCTGCACAGGGGCTTGATTTCCCCTGAAGATACCAGACTGTCACGAAGACCCCCGTGCTTCGTGATATGACCGTGGTGGAACGACCTTGTCTGGGGTTACGTAGTCCACGGAAAGACCCCCGTTGAAGACGGAGGGCCGAGGGGCTTGGAGACCCCCTCGTGTGTGCTGGCAGAGAGCCAGCAACTGCTTCTGCTGCCTGAAAGAGAAGAAGAAAGCCTACTGTCTAGAGAGAGACCTGTTGCTCAGAGACTGGAAGGGGTCTTTTCTTCTTCTTCTCTCCTGGACTTTTATTTGGAGGGAGAAGAGATTTAGCCCATTGTAAATATTACTGTCATGGTAGAGATAGATATAAAGTTAAGATTATATGCAGTGTATTATAGTATTTATTTATGTGTATAGTCTTTGTAATATATTCCTTCCCCCATATTGAGTCTCGTGTTTTTGTCTGGAAAACCCATCTCACATGGGGTTGAGATGTGGGTGGGGGGCTAGGAATCAGAATTGGATTTTGAGCCTTGCTAAAACCATGACAGTTGGTTAGTTTGAGTGGGTGTTTTGTTTGCTTGGTTTGGTTTGTTTGTTGGGATTTTTTTGAGGGGTGGTGTTGATTGCACTGAGTTACAGAACCGAAGTAAATCCCATGGTATATGCACATACTACTAATACTAAGCACTTTCTCACAAATGAAGGTCTTGAGAAAATCCCTCCAGAGTCATTTCAACACTACATGTCAATAAGAATTTCTGTAATACCGGCAATTTCATATAAACTTTTCATGTACTTAATGAATCCTAATTTTTTTCACCTCTTAGAGCTTCAATTTTACCTTGCATCCAAATTTTAAAGCGATTGTAAGACAGATATGTTTCTGACCCTTGTGAGAGTCTCGTATTGTCCCTCTGTGTCTCTGCAATACACACATTTGCCTCTAGCTTTCTAGCTCTAGCTCACATATTTAGAGAACAGCATAGTACACTTGGAGGTGGCCCAGGAGATACAGTCCCGTTCCATGCCTCTTCCCTGACAAGCAAACCAACTTCCCAGGGAAAGATCACCAGATGCCAAACACACGTGCATTATTGTACCGTGCACCCACACTCATCTAGTGATGACTGGCTCAGGGAATCTTAAATGCCAGGACTGAGGAAAACTGAATCTAATGTACTAATACAATCGGAAAAAAATTAAAAAAACTTGTTGTGGCAGTTTGAGCCACATTAGAAATCCAAAAATCCAATTTCCAGGCTTCCCCCCACCCCTTCCCACAATTTATCCCAACACCGGAGAGAAACTTTCAGGCCAGAGGCTTCTATAGGGGAAGGGGAAGTATCTACATTTATTTACACAAATAAATATACTGTACAAACTAAAGGCAACTATATATATATATATATTATTACACTTGTCTCAGTCCTTTTAAGCCCCTCCCTTTACCTTTAGTCCAGGAAGAGCCTTTCAAGGCTGCTGGGTAACCAGTCTCTCTCTCGTGGGAGTGTTCTGGCCCCTGAACACTCCCTAACCAACCTTCAGCTGTTTGCTGCAGTTTTTTCTCTTCACGAAGTCCAAGAAAGTAGCTTTGAGTCCTTTCTCCTTGGTCTGCTGTGTGATCTCTCTTTCTCAGTCTCATACCTCAGTTCTGTAGGCTGCTGTAGTGTAGCTTATCAATGTACGCGTCCTGGAATGTTGATTCCTCCTCTGGGTTTTCGGCTGTCCTGCGTTTAGATCACGGCAGAGACATCCTTCGGTTCATCACCAATTTCGCCTGGGATTCATTTCCCTAGCTCCAAGCTATATTTAGTCCATCCACATGGCTCTGCTTCAATGCTGAGCCTTAAAATCCACCCCCACCTGCCTCAATGCAGTGGGGGGAAAAAGCCCCCTAACCTTGGCCACAGGCAGCTCGGTTCAGTTATACACTGTCCCAAGTGTCCTGCAGCTGCAAGGGGGGAAGAGGGCCTAGCCTCTTACCTCAGGTGTTGTGAATCTCTTCCTTCACAGCACACACTCAAAATGCTGCCTCTAACTCTGCTCTGGCCTAGGCAGAGTTGGGGGCTGCAGGGCTCCCCTCTCCCCCCCCCGGAGGGGGGAAGAAGGAGCCCAGCCACCCCCTGGCCTTCCACACCTACGCACAGCAGACACCAACAGAAGAATTGCCAACAGCTTCCGGAGCTGTGTATATATCATTTTTGAGCAGAAGAGAACGAGTGGTGATTGGCTCTTCAGGGAACACTGCCCTGGCATCCAATCACCTCTGAGCCCCCGACTCTCAGGGGGGGCCAATCTCAAACCATCACACTTGTCCAGAACCTCCTCCTCTTTCCACTGTACTGATATTTGATAATATCTAGAAAATCAATTTCTATTTGTAACAAAATTATAACCCAAGGAGAAGAAAAAAAAAGTCAAAGCAGTCTGTCTCAGACAGATTTCACATTGTGTCAGTAAAATTCAGGAATATGTACATAAAAGAAAGAAGGAATTTAGAGAAATAATGAGTGGTCTCTCAGAAAAAGCTTCCTAAAGTTTAATCAAAATTCGGTATATAGTAAGATTCTCTCAGAGACAACACACTTTTAAAACATCTGTGGAAACGATCTCTTGCTTAACTCATTTTGTGAAAAGAAATAATGACTTTCAGCATTTTTTCTAGGCAGGTATAACGACTGTGAAAACATTCCCAGCAATTTGATGCAGCATCTCTAATGATGAAATGACCTTTAAAGGTCCCTTCCAACCTAAAGTATTCTATGGTTCTATGAAAAACCATAGAGGTAGACATTGATGTTTCATAACTTCTGCTGGGTTTTGCCTTTCTTTACATCATGAAACCAAACTAAAATAGTAGAAAAAATGTGCACACAGCATACATTTGCAATAGTAACCACATCCTGACTCAACACTCTTGCAGAATATAAAACTTTGAAAAGAGACTTGGCTGTAGCATTGTCATTTGTGCAGACACAGCGCAAGGTCATGAGTCAAGCAAAATGACTGTCGTGGTTGCTCTCAACAAGACAATTAATTATTCAATTAATAAAATGTGATGGCTGCAGAAGAGCTGTGCTTTTTCCTGTGTATGGCTAGGCTTTTCATGGCAAGGAGTAAGGAAATTTTCTTCATCTTTATAGCAGGCACAAAAGGTACAGTTCTAGGTCCCAATTATAAGAAGAGGGGAAAAGATGTCATAGAAGAAATTTTATAACTACATGGTTACATTGGCTAGTAAGGTATTCAGTTGCCTATCTAACCTAAATTGTAGAATAAAATGAGACTGAGATAGCAAGTAAATGAGCAATAATAGAGGAAGTAATAATTTAATAAGTTTACATTAGTAAGAAATATCTTTATTTGGTGTTCATTTAGAGCTGACAAATACAACAATAAAACCTTTTGTGAAAACTTAGTCTTGAACTCTTAACAGTGTTTTATCAGTATTTTCTATGAAAGAGAAAGTCTGACCTGTTTCCTAGTGCCATTCTTTATTAACAGTTTCAAAATTATATTTTTTAATGAGAAATAATTTTTTCTTACAAATGTTATTGGAAATAATCATCATTATGTCAAGTAGAGCTATAGTGCAGGATTTCTGTTTTAAAAATTGGAACTTAAAACTGATTGTTAAAATGTAAAAGCAAGATACAATTTTTTAAAAACACTATATGAGTGTCTATGTTCTGTGTCAGTAGACCTGCTTTTTAGCACTTTTACATCAGCTGCAAAATCATGGTCCAACTACTAGAGTGTGGGCTGAACATAGCCTATTGGTCAGAGATGGCTCTGCCTTTGCCTATGTGTCCTAAACTAGCATGCTGCCACCCATACAAGAGGTTCTAAATGTACAGCCAACAGGAAATTCTCTGCCAGTGTGTCGAGAGGATTTCCGCAGCTGGGATCTCATCTTGCCGATTAGACCATGCTGACTAAAACACAGCATCTGCTTACTCATTTTGAATTTTTAACACACTGATTCTACATTAACATTTAGTTAGAGCTTGATTATATTTACTAGACTTTAGGGTAAAGCTTTCAAGCAATGAAAAGTTGATGTTTAATAATAAGCATTTGGAAAAATAAACTTGCTTGTTTAATATAATTTTGTCTTTTTGCTTCATTGCTTTTTCCTAGAAATGCGATTTTTCACCAAAGAGGAGTCATTATAAGGTTACATCACCTGCATTCTTCCATTTCTAAAAACACATGAAGTTACTTTGTTGTTCAGACATACATTCTGATAGAATATAAACTTGCTGTGTTTGGATGCTAGCATGTAGCCACAAGACTTAGCAGGTACTTCACTGTCTATCACACTAGGAAGAGCATCAGGGGATGTGCTGCTACTGCTGCTCCGTGGTTGGGAGCTCTGAGTTCTATGTTCATTACTCGGAGATGCGACAGGCAGCTTCCCAAAGCGGTAGTACTGTTTGGCAGGGACAGAAGCTAAACATGATTTACCCTCCCCTTTTAGCTACTGGAGGGAGGCAGAAATGAACAATAACTCAAGTAGCACAATGTTTTCTGTTGGAAGATACTCTGGAGTACCTGGGCAAATGTGTTATTTGATGCTTTGGATGTGGTCAAAGGAGGGTTCTGTACAATCCGTCTGTGGGTCAATACAGCTCTGCTGCCCGGTAGCCTCATTAAGGATTCAAATTGTACTGTATGTTACAGTTTTTATCTATGTGACAGATTTCAATTCCTGATTATCCCCCACAAGCAAGCCCAACAAAGGCTGTGGGGATTCCTTGCGTGGGATTCCAAGAACTGCTGCAGAACACATCTGCCTCTGTGACTCCTGTTGTCTTTTTTTTGCTCCCCCCTTTCCCTGTGTCTGACTCCTACTGAGGCACTGCTCAGCCCTGCCTGTTCATCCTTGACATTCATTTGAAAGCAGGCAACAAAGATGATCAACTGAGAACTGATGCAGAAGTTTGTATTCCCAACACAAAGAGAAGTTGTCACATTAATCATAAGAACAAGGTGCCATGTAAAAGTGCTAGCAGTGTGAAAACGGCAATCACATGGACAATGTAACCAGGTAGATGGGACAAGGAAGGGCACTTCCTATTGACTGTGATGTCTGGTTTGCACTCAAACTGATCCTTAAACCTGAACATCCTAGAGTGATGACACCCATTAACCTTCACATTATTGAGAGGTAATGAACCACTTTTGGATTTTATCATCTCCAATGGAAACACTCAAGTTACTGCAGATTAAGTCTGAGTGTAGGGGTGTGCAAGATCTCGTTCTGTATTGCACAGTCTGGAGAGACTGAATATGACACCATAAGAAGAGTGTCACAAATTTATATAAATATATTGCACACTTTTCTCTTTTTCTGATAAAAACCTGTTTTAATTTTGATACTCTGGATGGGGAAAAATGGTATTTCCTCTACCTGCAGCAAGTTATTATTTCATAATACTAAATTTTCAAGAAAGCATTTTTCAGGCTTCTATAAAGTTTTGTGAAACTTATATATATATTTTTCTTTTTTTATTTGACCTGAATATAGTATAAAAAAGAAGAAGTACTGCAAACCAAGCATTTTTAATTTTTTTCTTCAATACAAAGAAACCCACTTTTATAAAAAAATCAAAATTACATATTTTTTATTAAGATAATGTGTAGAAATGTTAGCCAATAATCAGGACTCCACAACAAATACCTGTAGATACACACTGTAAGTACCTCTGTAGGTTTACATATTCAGATGAGTGATATTAACAACTGGATTAAGAATTAGTGCAGCCTAGTTTATATGGCAAGAAATCTGTGAACACCTGTCTGCTATTCAGTCTCCTTTCTGAATTACACTCTTTCTCTGATAATATCCTCTCTCTCTCTCACTTCTCAAAACTTAAAAAAACTTAAACTTAAAAAAAAACAAACCCCAAACTACTCAACTGCAATATTTTGCAGCTAACCCATGTAAATATTAAGATTTTAGCTACATAGATTTGACTGTAAAAATAAGATGCAATGGGATATATGAATAATATTTCTATTGATCTTGTTAAGTTTTGGGACATATGGAAACTTAGTGAATCTCTGCTCATGAGGTTAATAAAAAATGCCCTGTCTTCACTTCTACCAGTCTGATGTCTGAAAACTTACTAAACTTTGCATCTTCTGCATCTCTGTGATGCAGATAAAGAGGTGAGCTGTTGAACAGATGGTGAATAAATGACTCTCACTTTTGCTACTTTCACACTTGCCAGAAGCAAAGCTGACAAATTTTATTTGGAGCCTGGAATGTGATTTCTTTATTTAAACTATATGCTTAGCACTAACAAGGGAGCACTCAGGAACATTAATTCAAACATACAGAGTGTCTCACTCTGGGAGCTGTGTTCAACCTTTTTGAGAATTTCTTATTTACAGAAAATAATCTTCATTGTATTTTTCTGCTAAAAACATAGTCACAGTCTCTTCATTCCAGTGTAAAAAATTATTAAAGTCACTGTTTGTATATATACATATGTGCATAAATAAATAGATGCATCTATATATTCTGTATGTAGCAGACAACTCTTGAGACAAATTATATTTCTGTGCTTGAAAATGTAGTCCAAAAAACTGCAATACATTCATCCAAATAAAATACCTAACTCTTCAATGAAATGCATTCTAATTTTTTCCTTTGTCTTTATCATACTGTTCTGTTTCATACAGTGCATATTTGTACTGTCTCCATCCACTGTGAATTCAGTATTCTAAACCTTCAAACCATTGGCTTTATAATGTTATGTTCTGCTTTGCTCATCTTTACAGTGCTACTGGCTTTACATTGTTTCATTCCCCTTTGGTCCCCAGTCACACTCCTCAAAGCACATTGCCCTGTCACCAAATCTTTCTGCATCCATCACCTGTCTGTTTTCTATTTCCTATCTGCTACAGACAACACTTTCCTCACCTTTTCTACTTTTGTTACCAGCTGAGCGAATTTAGATTTCAAAAGTGCTTGGCATCACGTAAGACAAAGGATTGAATTAGGAAGAGAACTTCTGCCACACTTCTCTTTGTGGTACACCTCTCGGCACTAAATTATTCCTGCTGGAAAGGTATTGGGGCACATAGAAAAGAAGCAAAACAAAATTAAACAAAGCTCGTGTTGTGGATACTTGTTGGGCTTGCCAGTTTTCTCAGAAGGTAGGCATTGTAAGGTCCTATGTCTGATTGTTATCTATTCTCTTCCATTCTTCTCAAACACAGATACTCCTGGATAAAATTTCAGAAATCCGTGTATAGTAATTCACTGCTAGAACATCTTGCTGCCATCAAGGCTTGACTTCTTAACGGAGATGTAAAAGTAGAATGACACAATTAGGATTAATAATTAATCAAAACAATCTCTGTGACCATGGCTGTTTTGTTCAGAAAGGGAACAATATATTACTTCACAAATGACCATTCCTTGTTGTTCATTTTTTTACATCACCACCACATAAACAGATTGAAGGTCAGACACCTCAAAACAGATTATATTCATTTTTTTTGTGATAGTCGTTATTCAAAGTAAGCTCATTTTCTGGTTTTGATATATTCTTGTTATTCTGTTCTGGTTTACTTAAATATTTGAAAATTCCCATAACTAGCCACTAGAAGCATAAAATCTGTACATATTTTAAGGCAGAGACGTTATAGCAAGAGTCATAGCAAAGTTTATCTATATGTCACCTATGTAGCTAAGAAGATTCTGTTGCTCAGTATGTATAATTCAAAAAAGTGAAGCAGAACTTCACTAAGTACGTGTAGAGCAGGTTGTTCCTTGGTACATGTTTCCTGCTTTAAATGCACAGGTTTACAAATATGACTTGGATAATGCATCTGAAAATAATGCTGCATAGAAGAGCTCAATACCATTAGAAACATGGAAGAACACATTTAATGAATTTGGTAGATGGTAAATTAGAATTGATCTTCAAGTGTAATACAGTGAAAAAGCCAGCGATTCTGTATGCAAGGCAGAGTTATTTCACAGCCAGAATGGCCAAGAAAAATGATCATGCTGGTATAATTTGTCTAATTCAGCATGCATCTGAGAAGTACACATAAAAGGGGAAAAAAGACTGTACAAGTTGCTGAAAAGTATATTATTATAGGGATAAAATTAAATAAAGTACAGTAAAATCCAAACTACATTATAATATAGATCTGCTATGTCTAAGGATATAATGGAAACAAACAGTAACAGATCAGCTGAATAATTTAGGGTTACACTGGACATCACACTTAAAAACATAGTATATCATAGACAAACAATCTTGCTTTGGCAGAGGACTGTACAAATGACTTAGTAGGTCTCTTCCATTACTAATTCTTTTCATTCAGTGCTCTTTGTAGACCAATGTTAAGTACCTCTAAAAGGCACTAGAGAGATTAGACCTCCATTTACTTATTGTCCTAAAAGCTAATCTTCGATCACAGAGCAGTGAGATACCATGTCTATTAGCTGAAGTTGTTTACCCTGGAATGAAAGAATATTTAAAGACAATGGATAAAATAAGAGTCTCTAATCAATCAATGTGAATTACTCCAGGAGTTTATGCCAACACACTAACAGTCCGTCACTTAAGATGACTAATGTGTTAGAAACAGTTATGGATGCTGGGTTATCATTTCATTAAGAAGTATCAATTGAACAATGAATCATCTATTCTAGCTTCAGAAAGAGTTAAAAAAGCAATATTTAGATTTATTCCTTTAGTAAAATTATAACCATCTCAAGATAACTATAAATATATTTGTATACTTTGTATACTTCATATACTGCTCTTTCAGGCAGTGAACAAAATCATATGAGGAAAACTCCAAAAAGCGTGTACTTAGAACATTTCACAGGGTTTCTTCCAGGAGATGGGATAATTAGCTCTCTCTGACATACTAAAATTCAGGTTAGGAGAACATATTTCTCCCTGGTCTACAATCTCTTAAAATTTATTCTGTTGATTTTATATCACCCAACCTTATGATTCATGTAAAATTTGTAAACTTTGTAAAGTTTTGCATTTATTTTGCTGAAGTGTGGTAATGTATAAACAAGTTCAACAGATTCATAGTTAATTCAATGTTTAGAAAACAGTCAGGTATATTGAAAATGTTGTATCTTTAACTGCAAGGGATTATTTTTCTGGTTAAATTATTAACTAATGAGTTAAATGCTTTGTTATTTTATGTATTTATTTCCTTCGTAACACAGAAATTTAAAAACACTGTGGTTTTTGTATGCGGTTTTAAATATATATTATATTTAAATAATTATACCTTTACTCACCGAGGCAGGAGTCAAGTTTAGTAGAAGCTTTATAAATGCAGTGAAGGAGAAGGTACCTTCTCTGACCAAGTACCACCCCAAAATTTAAAAGAGATCATCACAATTCCTTTCCTTTTGTTTTGGAAAAGAAAAAAGTAAATTCCGCACTTGATGCACATTCACTTGTCCCAGGACAAGGTGT